ATAACATAAAAGCATATTATGTTGTTTTTTTTTGTTTTTTTTTTTATGTTGTTGAGTTGCTGTCCCATAGCAGGGTACCCCCATATCACCATTATTCTTATTAAACCAAAACGTATTCTTATTAAACCAAACTTTTAAACCAAAACTTATTCTTATTAAACCAAAACTTATATGACCCAATAGTTAAATTCAAATAAAATTTTAGTACAAGCTCGGAAAAGTAACAAAATATATTAAATTTTTTTATAATGTTTTATTGTGCCATGTTATGTTAATCACTTAAAACTGTTAGTTGATTGTGTGGAAGCATGAACATGATTTATATTTAATAAAAATCTAATATTTTTTAGTTGATAGTTTATAATGATTTTACAGCATAGTTCTCTTTGTCTAAATAGTCTATTATGATCACTAGTTACTATAATTAGTCAGCACGGCTAAATGCATTCATTGTGTTTGTTTTAATTGAAATGTAGCTAAGACATTATGATCTTATCACAAACATGTTTACCAAGATTTTTAAGGATGAGGTTTGTGATAAGCTAATGACCTTTAATTGTCCAGCCTGTTGTTGCCACCTTGACCTCATTATTATGCCTCAATGGTCTGATTTTCAGTAATCTGAGAGTAACTGTACATAAAGGGCAGCAATTATGAGTGGTATGTAGATAATGAATAGTTTATGGGTTTTGACACATGGCCAACGTAGATACAAGTATCTGGTCTTATGGAGGGATAAATCCTACTTTCTAAAAAATCACTCTGATTCTAACAAAAAATTCTCTGAAACTGACATTATCAAGATGCTTGATTTCTTGATTGATAACAAGGTTTGTTACGTTTTGAGGACGTGTTTTTCAAAAAACAATCGGCGTCGGCATTCCCATGGGAACCAACTGTGCCCCTCTTCTTGCCGACTTGTTCCTTTATTCATATCAGGCTGACTTCATACAGGAACTTCTTCGGAAGAAAGAAAAGAAGTTAGCAGTATCCTTTGACTTTACTTTCCGATACAAAGATGATGTTCTCTCACTAAATAACTCAAAATTTGGTGACTATGTTGAACGCATCTATCCCATCGAACTTACGATAAAGGATACAACAGATACAGTTAAGTCTGCCTCATATCTTGACTTACATCTACAAATTGACAATGAGGGTCGGTTGAAAACAAAACTTTATGACAAAAAAGATGATTTCAGCTTCCCAATTGTGAACTTTCCATTTTTATGTAGCAACATTCCAGCAGCGCATGCATACGGAGTAGATATCTCCCAGTTGATACGATACTCCAGGGCTTGTATTTCCTGTCATGATTTCCTTGATAGAGGGTTGTTGCTTACAAGGAAGCTATGGAAACCACGAGTTCCAAGTGGTGAAGTTGAAATCATCGTAAATTTTACGGACGCCATCACGAGTTGGTTGACAGTTACGGAATATCCGTTTCACAGATGATAGCGGATATGTTCCTAATATCGTAACTACAATCCCGTCCCCTTTTCCCGAATGTGACCAACCGAATTAGACTTATTACCGGGTTTGTACTAACATGAGCAACACGACGGATGCCACATGTGGAACAGGATCTGCTTACCATTCCGGAGCACCTGAGATCACCCCCAGTTTTTTGGTGGGGTTCGTGCTGCTCATTCTTTAGTTTTCTATGTTGTGTTTTGTGAACCATTGTTTGTCTGTTGGTCTTTTTATTTTTTAGCCATGGCGTTGTCAGTTTATTTTCGACTTATGAGTTTGGATGTCCCTTTGGTATCTTTAGCCCCTCTTTTTCATTAAGGATGTAGTCCTATCAGGTTAAATAATTTTTATCAGATGTTTTGACTCCTTGGGTTTTCCTACAATACAGGGTAAAATATTTTGCCCCATATCACCCACTTTTCTTTTCAAGGAAGTCTTCAATAACTCATGAAAGGTCATTATCAAAATTTAAGCATATTCTAGATTTCTTTTCTTACGATTTGAAACCTAAATAATGCAAATATTAAATATAAGGTAAAAGTCTGAGTCTGCCTTTTCCTGCCATTTTATTTTTAGATCAAATATCTCGAAAAGGAGTTCCATAACCAATCAAATGTTTAGCTTATTTTGTTCCGTAACTAATACCCTTCTGATTTATAGTATCAATTTTAAATTCTATATTTTTTTTAATTTTACCTGACTACATCCTTAAGCATGTTAAGGCGTTTGTCAAAATGAAGTTGTTTTGTGGTGGCATATCTTTAAGCAATAACCAATCAATCAACCAATCAACCAATCAATCAATCAATCAATCAATCAATCAACTAATCATAATAATTAAGGCCATGAACTCATTTTCATGACCAATTAATATTACTTATAACCTGAATATTTGACAGTATTTCAATTCCTGATAATTTGTGAGGTTTATGTTTTGTATGTTTATTGTCTTTGAACATAACATGTAGGTCATTGAGGATTCCTTGAAAATATTTTGTATCTTAAATTTTAATTGAATCGTGTCAATCAGAGGGGCCAAATAGTCTGTGATTTGTTGATCGTTATTGACATTACAGAATTACACTCAAACTTGGGCCATCGTGTGGTGAGGCTAAAGCTTTTTCTGCATCTATTTTTTGTTGTTGTTATTTTGTGCTTCATTACGATCTATTGAGTTAGGCTGTTTGTAACTGATTTTCATCGACCGCAAAATTTTTGCGTTCCTATGATGTTATGATGTTGCCAACGTTGTCGTAGTCGTCCGAAGACATTTGGTTTCCAGACAATAACTCGAGAATAATGAAGTTGTACCATAAGGTTCCATACCACAAAAGGAAGTTTTGGATTGATTTTGGGGGCTATTGTCCTAACCGTTTAAGAATTAGGGGCCAAAAACAAGTATTTTTATTGTTTCAGGACAATACATGTGTATAAGCATATGGATCTATTTGAAATTGTACAACATGGTTCCATACCTCAAAAGGAACGTTGGGAACGATCTTGGGGGTTATGACTAAAACCGCTTAGGAATTGGGGGCTAAAAAGGGGCCAAAAACTAGGATTTTCTAGTTTCTGGACAATAACGTGAGAATAAGTCTATGGATCTCTATGAATTTGTACCATATGTTCTAGAATATTGGGATTGATTTTTGGGGTTATGGCCCTAACTGTTTAGGCAAAAGTGACCTAAAACAATAAAAGTGGCCCAAAACAATACTTTTCTAATTCTTTGTATAAATTGCTTATTTCAATGTGGTTTAATCAAAATCTTGAATTCTTGGGATTCTTTAATATGCTGAATCTAACTGTGTATTTACATTTTGGATTATGGGCCCTGTTTTTGAATCTCCCACTTTGTATGACAGTTGTTTATAGTTCCATTATATTGACAAAATTGGGTGAGCAACCTAAACAGACATAATCAGTTAATATGACAATAATTGGGATCCAACAGCCAAAAATGTTTAAACATACATCACAGACATACAACACAGAGAGCAACGCAATTTGCTGGTTAATGAGTATGATAGACAAAACACTTATTTTGCTTAAATAGTCTTCATTGATACCTGACATTCGCACCGCCAGCCGAAATTGAGTTTTCCTTTGCAAACGATCTAATTCCTTGCCAGAATAACTGCTGTTTCATTATATGCAACATGTATATAATATTTTAAAAGCATCCAGGTTACTATTTCCAAGGTACGATAAAATTACTTTTCGAAAACAATTTTAACTTTCGATATTTCTTATGACAGTTATTTAAGATTTGTTAATTTATAATTAGTATTTTATTTCTTCAATGATACATCAATTAGTCGATTACATCATTTTGAATAGTCATTATTTACATCTTGTGTGGAACAGCATTTTACTCAATGTCAATGAGATTAAAGCTTATTTATATCTTATTAATAGGGTTATTACCTTATATTTGATAATAATTCGAAATGCTATTACTTTTTTGCAAACATCTAACTTTCCGTGCTAAAGACAGTAGTCTATCAAGGTTTTGGCTTTTCGATTTTGTACTTTTGTTTATCATCTTTTTAACAAAGAAAAAGTATGTTACTCGTACAAATAACATTTATTGGAATAAATAGTTTGTTATTAATTAATGCATCTCCATATAGTCATGAATGAAACATTCTGATTTATTCCTGAATGTGTTAATAAAACTAGAAATATTGAATTTGAATTGAACGTATGTGTTCTATCTTTTATTCAAATTATTTTCAATAACTTAGTCAATCCTTTCAAAACCTATGCATTTGAATAATTGATAAATATAGCGACAGTCCTTTGAGTATAAAAGTAACTAAAGCAGCTTTATGATTTGATCATAATAAAGATAAGGTTTTCAGATATGCATCTGAAAATAAGTTACATCGGGTTTGATCTAGTTCAGTAATTGGAAATCCCAGAAAATATCCAGTCAAAAAGGTTATAAGCAAATCAGAAAGGAAGTCAACTACACTATAAAAAAAGGTGTTTAGATTAATTCATATCTTAAATGTGTACAGATGCTCTACTTAAAACAAATTTGTCCTAAAGTGAAACAGTGTATATCACTATGAAAACGTTGACATTGTTTTATATCGTATTGTAGAAACGAATATAAATTAACAGGCTGACAATTGTTTTTGAGTAGTCAAGTTGAAATTGTATATTGATTGAAGTGAATAATTCATATTCATATTGTGCTTTTATCAAAAATTTGCATCGTAACCGATGGCGTGAAACCTGTTTTTAACTTAGATTTACCATTTTGTGATTGATAAGAGCTACATAGTCAGTACCACATTAAATGTGTTTTCATAACGAGAAATATGAATTTTAGCTAATAATTATAAATTGACTATGGATGTATTTACAGTTACTGTAGTTGTATTTCTCTATAATGTTGTACACAGATGCATTACTTTGAACATGATGAAGAAAAAAAGACTGTTTTGTCCTAAAAACAAACAGTGTATATCACTATGCCAACTTTTACATTGTTTTATATCGTATTGTAGAAACGCAGACATAATAAGAGGACAACAATACTTTTTGAGTAGTCAATTTTGAAATGGTATATTGATTGAAGTGAATAATTCATGTTCATATTGTGCTTTTGTTGAGAATTAGCATGGTGATCAATGACGTCATACCTGTTTTTAACTAAGAATTAACGTTTTGTGATTGATAAGAGCTTATATATTCAGTACCACATTGAATGTGTTCTCATAACGGAGCGTATGAATTCTAGCTAATAATATACATTGACTATGAATGTCTTTACATTGGTGGTATTTCTCTATAATGTTGGAGTTGCATATTTTCAGCAATGCACAGTCAGAACATTACGTGTAGATGCAGATAAGACTGGGGCTAGGTTAATAAACGGATACACATATATCATTTTCTCTAATATTGGTCCGAATGCCTGTTTCAATGAATGTATCCGAAGAACAAGGTGTCGTTCATTTAACTACAACAGCATAACACGGAGATGTGACATTAATAAAATGTCCAGTAGCTCAGAGACAGATTTTGTGCACGAAACTAATTGTGTTTATGTTGATATGACACAATACAGAGGGGTGAGTAAGATTGTAATTACAGACTTATGCTCCGGGCATTGATAGGCAATTCAGTTTCAATTCCTGTGGGGGGTTTGTTTCTTCGACTGTTTTTTCTTTATTCTTCATTTATTTTTGTGTTTTTACTTTTAATTGTATTTCTATGTTTATTTAATCATTTTTTTTCGTTGTTGATTTTTCTTTTGGGTGTGGGGGGTTGGGTGGGGGGAGTTATGTCTTGTCCAATTTTAGTGTTTTGTTTTTTGTGCATGTTTTGTTTTGTTCTGTAATTGATTTTTATTGTTCAGTCGATTTTTTCCTTGTTTCGAATTAAAATCCAAGATAATATGGATTCACTCCATATCAATTTATTATTTCATTTGACATCTTACGTGTCTCTTATAAAGATTCAATCTGAAACCAGTTGAATTTGCAGTTATGTTACAAAAACATTTATATATGATTGACAGACAATAAAATAACGAAAATCATTCTCTTACCCGAATTCAGAATTGATAAAATACTTTGATTTTTTTTTCGATTACACTGAAAAGAAAAGTATCTGGAAACTTTGAGGAAATTTTCAGGAACTGCCAAATGAGATAAAAACAAAACCCCACTTTTTATTAATAAAGAAGTGAAATATATAATCATAATAATAGATAATAATATGATAATAATAATAATGATAATAATAGACATTTCAGAATCTAATGCATTTTGGATAAAATTTTCAATAGCGTACACCAAAACCTTGTGACGGGTTAAAAAACTTCTAGCCGATGGAAATATATTAAGACTAAAGGGCATACGATACAGTTTTGACCCAAATGGTGAATTTTTGACGAAAGTTTGCATAGTAGCTATTTTTCACCTAGTGAATAGTCCATTTTCATATATCCGACTTTTAAATCCTGAATTAATATTTTTTTCAACAGGTTAACTTCTCTGTGGTAGGACATCCTGATCTTGTTCGAGGTAGAGCAACGTAAATAAGTAAATTCAAGATTTTAATCGGTACAATTTTGAGGGAAAATTAACTGTTTAAATGATTTCTAAACATGACTAAATAATCGGAAAATAGTAAATTTCACCCAAATTGGACCGATCATATATCTGATTTGACTTTTTTTGGTTGCTCGTAATTGACCGAGTACCAAGATGTCCTACCACAGAGTAGGTAACCTGTTGAATAGTTGTAGAACCCGGAGTCAAAAGTCGGTAATATGAAAATGGTCTATTCAAAAATGTAATACAAATGCACCTTCGTGTGATACTTTTAGAAATAAATTGGGTTGAATTTTAGACATTTACTGGAAATTTAGCTTGTTGGACATTTCTATGCTTTGGAACGACATACCTAGTTTTTGTTTCAAAAGATAATTTTAAAATATCTGGAGTATCTTCTTTCATGTGTTCTTGTGGTTTTTGTAACAATTCTTTGGAAATAAATCGTCTTTATCAAATTTTCATGAATTAGTAGAAAAAAAACGGTATTTTTATCTAATTTAGAAAAAAATCAACTGTGATTTGTCCATAGAGTTAGCACAAATAATCTGCATACATAATCAAGCCAAATTTCATGATTAAAAAGAGGGGTCCATGAACAAGTTTTCAAATTAAATAAGTTTGAATGACACAATTTAGTCGAAACATGCATAATTTCCCGATATGTCAAAGTTTGAGGTCGCGAAAAAATAACATTTTATAATAACAATGTCATTACCTCCCCTGTAACGGTATCGTATGCCCTTAAACCAATGAATTGACCTTATTTTATTTTGAGTTAAGGCCAATGAAATGACATAATGATAGTTCTTTAGATTCTTAAATGGTGGAGTGTAGTATATTAATGCAAACTTGATATGTCAAAGTTTGAGGTCGCGAAAAAAATACATTTTACGATAACAATGTCATTATCTCCCCTGTAACGGTATCATATGCCCTTAAACCAATGAATTGACCTGGTTTCGTTTTCATTTAAGGCCAATGAAATGACATTACAAAAACGAAATAATGTATTGAAGCTTGGAAAATGTATGACATTAAAATAAAATAAAATTTGCGAAATATCATGAATGATAATGGCGTGTTAACGTCATGGCAATACTATGGCATCATACGAATGGAAACTCCCAAGCAGATGATTATTCCGTGACTTGAACGTTTCAAATTCGGATAATATCTCATTAAAATGAAGTTTTTGAAGTAGGTGTTTTTTAGATTCTTTAGCATTAATCGAACAGTTATGGATGTCACAATGACAATTTGGAGGCTAACTCCTTAGTAAAGACATATCAATTGTGCATTTGATGGTAAATAGTAGCCAATAAACAAAACATTGTTCATTAGAAAACTGTTTGGCTTGAGATTTTTAAGGATTAAACACACGTTTTTTAGATGTAATTTGTTTGGCCATTTTAACTTTTTTTTATTCCTACCCCAGGAATAAATTACCTAGCTGTCTTTGTCAAAACTTAATAGGATTTTAGGGTCCTCTGTGGTCTTCAACTTCGTATTTTGTTTGGCCTTCGTTTTTGAACATTTTTATTCAAGCATCACAGATGAGTCTTTTGTAGACGAAACGCGCGTCTGGTGTATAAAATTTCAATCCTGGTATCTATGACGAGTTTAATTATACAGAAAATCTGAACTGCAGACCATACTGCCATACTATCTAAAAGCCATATCTATTCAATACAAAAGAAGAAAAACTCGATTTGACGGAAAAATAATATATTGATAACATATTTTTTTTTGAGTGAGAGAGAGTCTGTCTACAATATCGTAACACATAATTGTTGCTTGAATCTATAAATGATAGAAAATATGCACACAGGCATCTACTTATATGTATACATTTCCAAAGGAAGTGTTCAATTTTCTTAATATAAACAAATGTATATGTAGTTTATTTTATATATCACAAATCACTGTAGTACACACTAATATGAAACTCATATTTTTTTTTACTTACATTTACTGGTCGCAGTGTATGCTTATTTTATTGATAATTGTAAGCACACATGATTTATACAAAACAAACTTGAAAATTTCAACATGGAATATCAATGGTTATATCAGTAAGGGATGTAACAAAGGAGTAGGGGCAATAAGGCCTTTATTTGGCCCAAATATTTGTACGAATTGAAAAGTTACCATACATATTCTTAACTTTGTCAAACTACACTAAGGTACAAGGTGTTCAAAAAATAAAAGTAAATTTCACGTTTAATGAGTTACCATGGCAACAAGCTATGACAAAATGTGTATATTTTGTAAAATTTCTTAATTTTCCTTATTTTACGTCAACTATTAGGTATATATAAGATTGGATATAAAAAATATGTGCGCAACCAAGAAACACCTTAATAGCTGGAGAACTTGTCAATAGTTATAATAAAGCTTCTCTTAATTTTTTTTGTTGTTTCTTGCCTGCGCAGGGTGTTTCCTCAAAGGAAGTAATGATGGGAAACTACATAAACTTACAATAAAAATGGTGTATTTAATGACGTAACTGTGATGTCATAACGTCAAAAATATTATGTTATTCATTTATTCTGTTTAAGGTATGCATTTTCAAACATTATGTGCAAATTTAAAACAGTTCTCAAAATCTTTATTTTCTTGGTACAAAAGCGGGCCTTAATGATATTTTTGGACAATCTTTTACAGCAAGACATGTTTTGCTTGCAAGAAAACCTCTGTGATCTGGATAATTGTTTAGAACTTCAAAATTTTCAAAGACCTGTTCATCTTATAAGATCTAGAACCAAACCTAGTGGGAAAAGACACGGAGGCTTATCAATATATATACTTAATACAATAAAACCGGGTGTTAAATTTTTAGAACATGCCACAAATGATTTTATATGGTTAAAGTTAGACAAAACATTCTTTGGGTTTCAGGAAGATTTATATATTTTTATACAATCCACCTGAAAATTCGTCCTACTATAGAAAATTGGATTATGATATTCTTTAAATGATCGAAAATGATATAGTAAAATATTCCCAATCAGGAAAAATCATTATAGCAGGGGATTTAAATGCAAGAACTGCTTATGAAATTGATCATATCCAAATGGATTCAGACTAACATATTCCATTATTTGATAATTACGAATGTGATTCTAGGTCAATTCAAAGAAAAAGTAAAGATAGCTCTATTAACATTAGGGGCAGACAACTCCTCTCTCTATGTATATCCTCATCATTGCGTATCCTTAACGGCAGAACAATGGTTGATTTAATGGGTGCATACACTTGCTTCCAACCTTGTCGAACACAAAAGTATATGAAAGAAACTCAAATCTAGCTTTAATGCCAGATAAATATATATGGGATGATAATTCAGTCTCAGCATTTTAAGATGCTATAAATTCAAATGAAATCAAAAATTTTATTAGACAGTATAAAGATAAAATGTACGACCAAGATTCAATTAATAATGCAGCAGAAGATTTAAATCAGATTTTCCTAAAAGTTGCGGACTTATTACTAAAGAAAAGTATTAGAAAACAAAAAAACAAAAAGCAAGAAGAAGAAAAATAAAAAGAAAAGAGAATGGCAAGATCAAGATTTAGTAAATTTGAAACAAAACTTATATCGAAAATACAGATTATTGCAAAATCACAACACTGATCCTTATGTACGAGGGTCCTTTTTAAAATGCCTGAAATCGTATCGAAAGCAAAGAAGAGCAAAAATAAGAAAATTCAAACAAGACATCATGAATAAACTCGATCATTTATATGATCAAAATCCCAAAGCCTATTGCCAACTATTAGATAAAATTAAAAATATCTCAAATAATAGTCAAAACATCTCTGAGAATACTATCAACCCATCTGAATGGCAAGCATACTTTCAAAAATTGAATAAGAATGAACGATATAGTGATGATTTGATTAAGAAGAAACTTGAATCATTTCATAAAAATAATGTTTTTAATGAACTTGACTACTTGATAACACCTGAGGAAATAGAAAAGGTAATAAAAGGTCTTAAGAATTCTAAATCAAGTGGATTTAGTATGATCTCGAATGTAATGATAAAATATAGCCAAACTGTTTGTATCCCTTTAATACAAAAACACTTTAATTTAGTATTTTCAAGTACTATTTATCCACAATTATAGTCCAAGGCTTTATCACCCCATACACTGGCTCTAAACATGATCCAGCAAACTACAGGGGCATAACCATTGCAGATAACATAGGCAAGTTATTTAATCTAACTCTAAATAACTGGTTGACAACATTTTTAAAAACTAGAGGTATGATTAGAAGTGAGCAAATTGGTTTTACTAAAGGATGTCTCACAACAGACCAATGGCATATATTTGTGTTAAATACCATCATTCAAAAATTTGTGAATAATAATTCGAAGCCTCTGTATGCATGCTTTGTAGATTTTTAGCGTGCATAGTTTCATATCTCTAACTTTTTTATAAACTTAATTGTATAGGTGTTGGAACAAAGTTTGATGACATTGTAAAATGTATGTATGGAAACACAGAAACCTGTGTAAAAATAGACCAACATAGGACAAATCTATTTAAATCAAATATAGGAGTAAGACAAGGGGAAAATCTTAGTCCCTGCCTCTTTAACATATATTTAAATCATTTGCAAACTTATTTTGACCAAACATGTGACCCAATCCCATTAAACATACACCCCTTAAATATCTAAATGTGTGCTGTTGATGTATGGCAAGGACTTCAAAAATTGTGTTAATAAATTATTTGAATTTACAGTTGATTGTAAAACGGCAGTTAACACCAAAAAAGACCAAGGTTTTGTGTTTAACAAATCAGGACGACATAAAAATAGTAAAATATCCTTAAGAAACCAGATTTAAGAATGTGTAGAAAACTACACATACTTAGGAAGAAATGTGTTCAGCATCTGGGACCTCCAAATAGCAAAGAAAGAACTTTATAACAAAAGAATGAAAGCTTATTTCAAATTAAGGAAGATCTTTTCAGTGGAAAGCCTAAAATCTAGTACTGGATGACATATTTATAACCATACAATCCCACCAATCTTGTTGTATGGATCTGAAATTTGGGGTTATGTACCACATTAGAAACAAAAACATTTGGATAACTTTATATTAAAAGAAAATGATTATCTTGTTCTAGAGAAAATTCATACTAAGCTTTGTAAATTTTCACTAGGAGTTAATATAAGAACATCAAATATGGCATGTACAGGGGAACTAGGTTCACTCCCTACACTTTATGATGTAATTATCAGTATGATAAAATATTGGATTCATCTTATGACAGATATTGGACCTTCAAATATTATCCTATGGCAGGCCATAAATCTATCCCATTTTATGAACAAACCTAACCAGGAATATTGGATAGGAAACATCAAACATATATTTAAATTCCTAGATTTAGACTATCTATTTGTTAACCAGTCAAACTTTGAACAAAACCATATGTATATTATAAAAAGTAAAAATTCTCTAAGAATAAAATTTAAAGAAGTTTGGTTAGCTAGTTTAGAAAGCAATTATGGGAAGGGTACCAATATACAGTCTGGCAAAAAATTAAGAATTTACAGAAAATTTAAAAAATATTTGTATGTTTGAACCAAAAACAATAAATTAAAAAAAAGACAGGCAAATAATTACAAGATTTAGAACTAGCTGTCATGATCTTGAAATCGAAAGAGGGAGGTATATTGGTATAAAAGCTGAAGACAGAAAGTGTACGCTATGTAAAACGCAGTTGAAGATGGACTACATTTTCTTTTAAAATGTCCTGTTCTAAATGATACTAGATTTCAACATCTGTCAAATTTAAATTCTAAATTCAAAAAAATTTCAAAATTATCTGATGAAATGAAATACTAAATTGTTTGGATTCTTTCATCTGAAGATTTGTTTGTTACTTCAAACTTATCTAAATTATTGCACTTGCTTTTTGAAGAACGAAAGAAACTCTTAGAAAATATCATTGTAGTTTGAAAAAATAGAAAGAATAAACAAAAATAATAAAATCGATCAGTAGTTGTCTCCTATAGACCTAGGACTATAAAATTATGTGATTTTTTTAGGTCACAGTGGCTTCCAAAATAACTTTAGGTTTTGTCAATAACATGGTTTATAATTATGTTACTTTGTTTGAATGTGTATTCATGTTTTTTTTGTTTTTATTTAATGTACTTTAATCATTCTAATCATTTACTGTGCTTTATTTTGTAATTCATTTGATTGTATAGCTCAAATTTTGGGTACCATGATTGGTTAATAAAATTATCTTATCTTACGGCTCTCTCATTACTTTTCAAACATTTTTTTTTCATGTACAGGCATATTCCTTCTCCATTTCTCATTTTTGAAAAAAAAATCTTTATATGGTTTAAAAGTTTTAAAAACATATCATTTCAAATAAATGTTCTATGAGGAATGAAAGTAAAAAAATGACATCAAAATATTAATTATTCAATAAAGTCAGAGATAGAAGGGATATGTTGGTTTGGTAAATAATTCTTTTCGTTTTTGATTGTACAACTTTGACGTTATTAAACACGGAAATCCTCGTGATTCCCGGATAGAGGGTTTTATTTTGTTTTTTTGAGAAAATATAGTTTTAATTTGACACATTGCACTTTAACAATATCAAAGAAACTAGAAAGACCGTGTGATATCACGAGATTTTGCCTTTGTTTAATCCAGGTAGATGTCGTTTGCTGTTGATATTTAAACTGAAAACATTTTCCTAATTGACTTCTATTTTCAGTGGATAAAGTATTATAAAATAAACTATGGAGAAATAAGTTTAAATTCGTAATGCGCGAAACGCGCGTCTGGAGCAAATACACAATTTCAATCCTGGTATCTATGATGAGTTTATTAGTTATGAGATGTAAACATTTGAACAGATATAATTTGTGACGATATGATTATGGGAAAAATTAATGCTATTGTATTAAACTACTGTAAACCAACTTATTTTCGCGGCTACTTTATTTCGCGATTTCCAAATTTATTTGATGTAGTTGAATAAGAAAAGTTCCAAGTTTTACTTATTCCCGTTATTTTTTTACTCGCGAAAAATAGTTGGGTTATAGTATACTAGTAATAACAAAAAAATCTAAATATCTATTTCAGATGTGACTTGTATTTTTATGACAATATTAAAGGGCTCCTGTGCACCGTATTTTAATGCATAGTGTGGGAAGAACCTTTCTAATGTCTACTGTATTATTTATTTAGATAATTAAAGGATTTTTGGGCAAAGTGTTTTAATGTGTAGTCTAGGAAGATACTAGCTGATTATCTCTTGTATAATGTTAAGGTCCCTTTTTGTCATATATCTCTTTGCATGTTTCGGTAATTATACAGCCTTGGTTTTAGAATAATTGGCTTCAGGCGTTCTGATAGAGGTAGATCCATAAAAGCGCCTCGAATGCATAAAATTTATAAAATGTTATTTTAGAGTAAAAAGAAGTATTCGAAAACAATTGAATAATAAATGCATATTGAATGATATTAGAGTCGAAACGAAAATATGAGTACAAAGCAAATCATGAAAAAAACACATGATAAAAACATGCAGGGATGACGGATAAGCAATCTTTTGTTTGAATCTGGAGTTATTTTGAGTAATCTTGGAGGGTTGATTTCTATTCTTTGACTAACCATAAATAAACATATGTCACATATCCTTTCAGTTTCGTAGTGATGAATTTTACAGATTTAAACCAATAAAAAAAGTTAAGAAATCAACTTTATCTAAAATCTAGCAATCAGTATTACAAAAGAGGCCGATGATATACCAAAAGGGCATCAAAACTCATGAGTCTAAGACAAACTGACCGTACTACTGCAATAAACGAAAAACGACAAAAATAAAACAACAGTCTACAAAACAGATATTGAAAAATAAAGAGCAACACGAACCACAACAAAGAAGGTGCTCCGGAAGAGCCACGTGTTTCATACATCGTGTTGAATACAGGTTCAAATATGGCCGATTTATGAAGGAATGTGTCGTAAATGGTAGAAAAGTGATGAAACTCGGACTCAAATTACGTCTTTTGAAAATATCTATAAAATACACTCAGAACACTTTACAACACAAACTTTTACCAAATGCCGAGGGTATTTTCTGATTATTGTCGGTGTGAATGAACGAAAATGCTGAGTATACGTCAATGAAATACCATACAAAGCCAGAATAGACATAAGGTTTAAAAATCGTACTACATCAGCATTGCAAAACCAACCAAGTGTCTTTGCATATGTCATGTTGTATAAAAATATTAGGTGAGTACATTCATACTAGCGATACCAATTCAAAATAGACAATACTATTCTGAATTGCTCGTCGATTAAATAGAAATGTAGTTAAAACCAATTATGACAAAAGATCAATCAGAAACCGACTTTATGTGCAAAAGCTTAGATAACTGACTATGGTTTATCTTTGTTTATAATATATTTAGGATTCCTTTTATGATCCATGTCCCGGGAGCGATTCCTGTGCTGAGGGAGAAGTTTGCCAGACTCTGAAAGATAACAAAAAGATATGTCTGAAAGATGTGAAAGGTACTGGTTATCTTGGTTCTTACTATCATTATCATTGAAGCTATCATTGCTATTGAATTATCTAGATTATCTAGATTATTTAAGGAGGTAGACCTAGGTTCAGGGAAATAACTCTTAAAATCATCAGTACGTTTGTATAAATATATTATAAGCTTCTATGTTACATAGATTATTTCCAATCTATTTCAGGTAAATGCTTAAAATACATTGATGACATCGATGAAACTTGACTTTAACAAAGCATTACTGATTTAAAGAGTTATCTACCCGAACCATGGCCTACACCCTTACGTACATCATACGTTGTTCCATTTACTGTGTGTTTCGTTCTATCCTTATATATACTCGTCATGGCAATCTAAATTGCCTACATTGTAGGGTTGGTCATTTAAAAATCATTTTTTTTAGCTGAACTTAGCGAGAAATCGATTAAAATTAATTGCCCCAAAATAATTTCCTTGTGCACACAATTTCCAGAAATGCAATCCTAACGACACCTTGGAGTGAATATTTCATTGTCGCTGTTGTTAAATATTGTTTATTACATTGGTTGCAATGAATTACATTGATTTCCCAGTGAAATAAAAACCGATAATTTCACATGTGAAATAAACGTGGTTATTTCACTCCTCTGACGTCATACAACAATAGGCGTTGTCAAGACGTCGATTACGTCGGATCAAAACAAATTGTGATGCGTAGAAAAAGATATAGTTCCTTACATTTTCTACTCTAATTTCATAAAAAGCTATTTGCCAATGTAATAAAAAAAATAACTAATCAAAAATTCAAATATCGAAAAATATTCAACTCGTGACCGAACAACACTGATAATTAACTCATGCGCTACGCGCATTCGTGAATTAATGTGTTGTTCGGTCACTCATTGAATATTTTTTTTCTATTTGAATTCTTCGATTAGTTATTCTATAACTATCCTGTTACTTTTTTGTGATAAAACTAAAGTGATAAGAAAACGGAGTTTATATATTTTTAGTTTCGTTGAAGGCGGTGAAATTGGTTTTACAATGTACATTTGAAATCACCTTAAGGATGTTGGCTACTCTTGTTTTTTTACTTTTTGTCAGATATTCAGAATCCTTTAGTTTTTTCATGTAGTACTAAATTTCCCACTAACCCCATTTTTTTTTAATATTTTTATTAAATATAATTTAAATAACCATTTATGAACATCTTATAAAATCCTTGTTATTTTTTCATAGTGTTTGAAAGAAAAAAGTTGTCAATATCAAATGCATGAAAAATCTAGAGAGAATCATTTCCCGCCAAATTTCAATTGATTATATCTCAAAAACAAAGTCACGGACATATCCTTTTTTTCTGCTTTTTAAGTTTATTTATTTACATACTATCAAGTTATAACAGTCGTTTAAAAAGCTTGTTATTTTTAAAAAGAAGAGCGATCATCCTGGACAAAACATTTTCATATATATTCACAAAGAGAGTATATAATAGTCCCTGCGATCGAAAAATCATCACAATTTTACAAAAGCTGACAAAACCAAATTGTAGAGACAGACAATTCCAAAATAACCCACTATTGTTAAAAAAATTATTAGATGTGGTATGACTGCCAAGGAAAAAATAAACATCCAACAGAGTTCAAAAATACGTCCTGCAACGATGACCGTATATTCAGTTTTAAAAGGCCCCTACATGACAAAATGTGAAACAATTCAAACGAAAAGTCAACGTCCTAATATATGACAACAACAAATATGACGAAAAATGTATATTACAGACAGCACTAACGACAATCACGAGTTACAAGCCCTTTACTTAAGACAGGCACATTTAGTATGCGGCGAGATTAAATAGGTTTGTGAGCGCGCAACCACCTCAAAATTGAAATATACTGCCTTTAGGCGAGTGACATTTTTCAAAAAGCCTCTTAGTTAAGGACTTTAATGCACCTACCTAACACACGGCTGTATTATATATCATTCGAAAGAAAGCTTATTATCTGTACTTTCTGTTTTACCCGGTCGTAAAAAAAATCGTACGGTGCAATATCCGTTAAATCAAGGACAAAGATCAAGAATAAACATTCCAAATTTTTGCGATAAATAAACAAAAAAGCCATTTACTGGTTCTTGTAAGTTAAACATTTCCGAAAGATTATATGAAACTTGTAGAACATGAAAAAGCAAGTCCAACTAGAACAAAAATTGAGAGGTTAGTTACGCAATATTTCCGGAAAATTGCAATTCTTAATAAATCCTACAAAAATTAGAAAAATGCTCTAAAATTAAAATGTATCTTATGGTATCGATATTTGTTGGCTAAAATATCAAATAAATGTATGGTTTGTAGGTCGAGGAATATTTTTTTTCATAATTTTAAGATTGAATTAATCTATATTGTTCATGGAACAGCCTTCTATTATAGTGTTTGCAGTTGCCCCAAAAACTGCCATTTGCGAATAGTGATCGTTTTACTCCTCTATGTTCAAATAGAACATCGCTTATTGTCAATATCCGGGAGAACAATCATTTTCCATAATAAGATTATGGGTTTCTAAAGTTTGAAAAGAAATTTACGAGCAAATTGAGGTAAAACTATGTTTTTTCGAAGCCTAACTTATTTACAAACAAACCAATAAAAGTCTGAAATGGCATATATTTGTACTCGACTGTACTCATTTTTACTATACCAGTCTGAATTGGTCTGAAATTTACTTGATATTACTCGACTATAGTCTGAACCATACTTAACAGTCTGAAATTGTACTCGACCTTTTCTCGACCAACCATTTTATACGTGTCTGGACCATACTCGATGTAGTCTTCACCATTCTCAACCAAGTCTGAACCATGCGCCACCTATTCAGAACCATACTCGACCTAGTCTAATCCATAATCAACCAAGTCTTAACCAACCAAGACCTATTTGATGTATGTATCTGTTGTACTTCATCAAATTAGTAACTGTTTTTAACAACAGCTATTTTCCTTGGCTAGAAATTTGAACATCAATTTGAAATCCAAAATGTATCTAATATAGCACTGAAACCAAACTTTCACAAACCTTTAAAATACAAATAAAACAAGATGACAAAAGGAAGTAATTTCTGGTTGGATTAGAAAATATCCTGTAATAGAATTTGCAACCATTATTATTTATCTGAAATGGTCTTCACATTTCTGTGTCATTTGGTTTTTAGAGAGTTGTCTCATTGGCAATCATACCACATCTTCTTTTTTTTATATGGATTATTCTTTTTTTTTCTTAATGTTTCAGATATGTTTTATTGTCACTGAAAAATTGTCAACACTAATCTAAGCCTGGTATAGATTTATGGTGTCAGTCAGTTTTTTTTATTGTATATAAAGCAACTTAATAAATTTAAAAAGAATTACACCTTTGTTTTTTCAAAACCAAGAATTTAATATAATAGAACTTCCATAGAAATCCTTGAAAATCTTTTAAATCAAAGTGATCATAAATCACTAATGGAAAGATAGGAAAAGAGAGGCGAAAGATACCAGAGAGACATTCAAACTCATAAGCCGAAAATAAACTCACAACGCCATGGCTAAAAAGGAAAAAGACCAACAGACAAACAATAATACACAAAACACAACATAGAAAACTAAAGGCTTAGCAAAATTTTCATTACTAAAAGAGATGTAAAAGATATCAAACGGGTATTAAAACTCATAAGGTGAAACAAAAAAACTGACAAAGCCGGGACAATAAACGACAAAAACGACAAAAAGACAAACAACATTACACAAAACATAACATATAAACTTAACACTGAGAAACACAGATCCCAACAAAAACTAGAAAAGGGGAGGGGTGAACTCAGGGCTCCGAAAGGATTTGTAATCCTGCTCAACATGTGGCATCCGTCGTGTTGTTCATGTAAGTACCAAGCCTGTGAGAAGTCAAATTCGGTAGGTCACATTCGAAACAGAGAGGACGGGATTGTGGTCATGACGATTGGAACATATCCGTTGTCATCTATGAATCAGATATTCTATAATGATCAACCAACCCTATCTATCATCTCTTTTCTCGTAATGTTTTGTTCTCAACCAACCCCCGTCAATTTCTAGATGTAAGTCATGATATTTGGTAGAATTGACTGCATCTGTTGTTATTATAAAAAAAAAAAAAAGATGTGGTATGATTGTCAATAAAACAACTCTTCACAAGAGACCAAATGACACAGAAATTAACAACTATAGGTCACCGTACGGTCTTCAACAATGAACAAAGTCTATACCGCATATGTTTCCTTTTTTCATTTTCAACGGGATATATGCTTTCAACAGAGTGACAAACTGAATTATTCAGTGAGAGGACATCATCTATATAGTGGACATTGTAGTTTAAAGATAATGGTAGATTCTTTTCATTCTTCTTCAGAAGCTCTTGTATGAAGTCATGTGAATAAAGGAACAAGTCACAACATATCCAGGAACTTTATTTGTAACTCGAATCTTTGCGAGTTAATAGAATTTTTAAACTAAAGTATTCTTTTTCGATGAATTTATGCATTTAATCAATAACAATGCAGGTTAGCAGCCAAGAAGATAAGTTTTCCAATTTGTATACGTGAATTCTTTGAAATTTAAATTTTCATTAATCTGTTTTTTATTTGTTTTTGTTGATATTTTTAATTTCCTTTTTATGGTTGACGTTATATAAATAAATAGTCTTTTCACTACATCAATGGTTGTAATGGAATCAAATAATAAGAAAAGTCAATCTGGCAGTTACAATGTACATTGACATGTCGAAGTTTCGCCCTCATTCTTAATTTCCAGCAAAAGCATGATGCCCGCATATTTTTTTCCTTTAAATGTTTTCACATTCTTAAGAATTTTGTTTCTTCAATCTTATATTGACTTCATACACTGTTTATGAATGAAGAAGTGCTTTAACGCTTTGTTTCCGCAGATGGCGTTATTTGGGCAACTGTATGAGTTGTTATGATTGGCTGTTTGATAAGAAGTAAGCAAGATTATTGGAAACTGATGATGTCAAAAACTTCTTGAACACTAATTACAGGGTTTAACTTAGCTTTAAGGGATAAGCAGTTGCATCAGAATAAAAAATTTGGGTTTTCACCCATTTTGATAACTTTTACTGGAATTTTAGGGAAAATTTGCTGTCGATCAAAACACGCTTTAAATATCTAGAAATGCGTTTGATAAGTGTCTGTTCATCTCTCTGCTAAAAGTTTGAATTGTTTGCATACATGGTTTTATCATAAAGAAGTCAGAATATGCATTAAAGCTGACATCTTGGAAAATATGCACGTAGTCGTCCCTGACCTTTGATCTTGATTTGACGGAAATTGCACCGTAAGATGTTTTTACGACCGGGCAAAACAGATAGTACATATGTTACAATTTCGAATGATATATAATTTAGCCATGTGTTAGATGGGTGCATTAAAAATTTTATGTTATGGTTAAAGTCACTCAACTACATATCTTCATTATAATAAAGTAGCAGTTCTTGTGGCTAAAAATGTTTTCGTGCAAAATTGATTTTTTCAATCTTGTAACAAAACTGTCTTTTTTCGGGAATAAGTAAAATTGATATCTGACTAAAGCATACTCAAATTATGTGAAGTTTGCGGTAAGCATGCAATAGTTTTATACTTAATACTTGCTAACATTTGGGTTCAAAGTTCAGTTTTCTATTTTTACCTTACAGTTCTTTGTCAAGTTTCCTGTACCGATCATGGCAATGAACTGTTAGAGGGTCTGGATGGGGTTTGCAGAATAGAGAATGTGCAAAACGGTGCAGAATAAAGGAAAAATATATCAAAAAATAAAGAAAAATAGGCAGAACAAAATGATGAAAAGAGAAGAACGGACAAAAAAAAAATATAGAGAAAAGTGCCATAAAAAAACTGTAATACAGAAAAGAAGGATTCGCTATCGAGACCCTCCTATTAGTGTGTGCTTGTCTGTGGTTGCTTTTGATTTAGAGTATTTGAACTTAAGGACTTTATTATCGGTTTACATTTAATAGGACCGTAGTAGAATTATGCAATAATGTGTGGTAGCTCGTGATATTTAGAGATTTTACCGCCGTAAGACCATATTTTCTTGAAATGTTTTAAATTTCGAAACATGTCATACTTCCTGATGGTGAAATTACAGACACACGGGGTTCCATGATCGTCGTTCTGAATCTAATATGAGAATCACTTGAAGCCGTGTTTCGTCCAACAACGCCTTAATTTTATGACGTATGTGTGCACAAATGTTTGAGGATCTGGAATGGGTTTACAGAACAGAGAATAATGGGCAAAAAGCACCAAAAAAACGAACAAAATACAGAATAGAGAAAAATAGACTAAAAAAAAATTAAGAATAGACAATAAATAATAGGGTGCTTAGATTTAAAGAAGTGGATACTAAAATAAAAAGAATAGAGATAATGGGCAGAACAAATAAAGAATAGAAAAAATGGTCTAAACAATTAAAGAATAAAGAAATGAGGAACCCCCCATCCAGACCCTCATATATAGTAACATCGTCATGCTCTGTCCGACCGGATCCGGGTTTATTCACGGGGGAGGGGGGACACTTCCTGTTATAGGGTATACGGGGATATGCCAAAAATATGGGTCATAATTTTGCAAGATTTTATATAAAAAAAAGACCCTCCTTTTTAATGACATCCTATATTAAAATGCATTTACGTTTGATACTGTACATTGATTTGGTGTATGATCTACATATCATATATAAATATACTATTGAGAATCTCACATTATTAATGGTCAATTATTTTTTTAAATTAAATCAATTCATTTAAAATAAGTTTTTCAAATGAACCCCGGATGTCAATGCATATATAAAAAAATAAGGGTAGCTGTACATTTATGAATTATAAGTGATGATAATTATATAACTATAGGTACTGAATTTCAGTGAATGTTATATTAAAATTGGTATGTTTTTGAGGCAAAAAAGGCACACCCCTGTTAAAAAAATATTAAAGTAACCCCCGTGGGTTTATTAGTAATGCCACATTAGTATATTTATTTCTTTCTTTGTCTTAGTTGTAACATTAAATGATCATTATCGATATTCTTAAAACAATTGAATATGATATTTCGAATTCTACATTACATTTTTACAACATGCATTTCAATTTACAGAATGCTTGAATGATTGGGTATCATTTTCGAATCACTGTTATTTGTTTGTGTATACAAAGATGTCTTGGGAAAATGCCAAGGTAATTAATGACAGTACGAACTACTTGTTTGGTAATTTCTAGGTGTTAACGAGATACAATTATCAATCCTCTAATGTATGATGCCGTATCAACTGATATATATTTTTACAGGAATAGCACGGTAGGTATCACTCATTGACAGGAACTGCTGACAAATCAATAACACAGTCCCAGCGTTTAGGTCGCATTCAAGTTGTTAAATCCTTATTTCCTGCCATATCCAACTGCGAGTCAAATCGGTGAACATGAATTTGACATCTAATGCCCCTTTAAAAAAGTGAATTTTTCGGGATTTTTCAAAATGGCGGATGTGTTTGGAAGTGTCGCATGTATTTTTATATACATCTTGTATTTTTTATGCATAATTTGTGCTGTTTCTGTTATTTTCTTCGTTGATATTCTGATTGTTTGATTTCTAAATTTCTTGAAAAATAAAATATTTCAAGATTGAAGTGAAAAAAAATAGCTACCACTGAAATTTGTAAGAAAAATATTATTAGTTTTTTAAAGATTTTTTCCCTTTTTTCTGTATAATTTATCTTTATATAGAATCCTTATCTCCTGCAGTATACTTTTGTTACGTGTCGAGCCGCTCGCTTATGACGTGTGACAAAATGCGGTGATAAGTCACATTCATTGGTAGTCATTGCTATTCTAACATCGACAAACTACTGTGTCTTTTATTTGTTTGGTCCTTTTGGCTTTTATGCTCTCAAACTTGATATCTTTTCTTTTTTTGCTTTCCAAACTTTTGATCACTAGCGTATCTGATGAAACTTTTCAGGTCATAACCAAAACGACAGTCTGTAGAATTCACAAAATGATTTTTAGAGTTTTAAAACACATCAAAGAGACCAGGCTTATGATGTAGTACGACAGACGCGCTTTTTTGTCTACACAAGACCCATTAGTGGCGCTAGAATCAAAACAGTTTTATGGCAAAACAATTAGGAAGTTGAAGACCATTGGAAAAACAAAAATTTCAAAAAGTTGGTGTCAAATATTGCATAAAATTGTTATTAAATTTTTCATTGGTAATAGATAACTATACAATATAATGTTCATTAGATAAAAATAATAAAATCATATGTCAAATTTATATAAGGTGACAATTGGATAATGAATAAAGAATAAAATGCAACAAACAGAACACTTCTATTACCGGAAGTGTTACTTGTTTACCTCTAAACATGTGATGTCAATATTGAAATTTGTCGTCATTGCATTTGCGACTGTTCACTTTTGATGTTAAACTTTTTTTTAGCAGTATAGTTAATATCTAAAAGTTTGAATGTTAACGTTATGACACTGATGTTATATCATGCATAATCATTACAGATCTTACAGTATATCCTTAATAAGCTATGATAGGGAAATGTTAACATGTGTAAATGGTTTTTAGGTTGAATGCCAGACAAAAGGGGGATACTTGGCGAAAATTGAAAATACTGACGAGAACACATGGGTGAAGTCTTTAATTAAAGGTATTTCTTTTAATTACCATAAAATGAACTAGAACTGACATATTGCTGTCTCGTTGACATATCTGTACATCGCATTTCTTTTTATTCATATAACCGACGCAGCTGTCGGAATACTTAAAAAGAGAAGAAAAAAAAACCTTCCGGATCTAATATCAAGCTAACTACTAGAATATTTATAAAGTGCATAGAAAATCAACCTAACAATGTTAGAGTAGATTTGATTATTTAAAAATCAGCTTTCGTTTCGGGATGTGTTACCTTCTCGTAGGAATGAAACAAGGACATCTAGACGCAATACGCAAAGTATTTTTAAGAGTACAGAAATGATCATCTACTCATCTCTTCAGTGTAATTACAGGATGCTGTCCTATTTTTAGAAGCATACAATCACTATAAATTTATATATATGTATGTCTGCCTATGTGTAGTGACAACTTGTCCATCGGATTTCTTATGAGTAAGAAATACCAGTCTTTAGAATATTTACGATAAGGTAACACTTCCCGAAACGAAAGCTGATTTTTATCAACTATAGTTAGAGAAGGGGATAAGGCGTCTGCGCAATGCTAGGCGGTGTTGTCGTAGAAGTATGAAGGGAAAAGTACAGGTACCAGCCCCGGCCGGGGAGGAAGTAAAGAATCAAATCTACTCTAACATTGTTAGGTTGATTTTCTAGGCGCTTTATATATATGTATGCGTGTGTAGATGTTATATTATTTTTTAATACACAATGTGTATTAAAAAAATTATATATGTTTACCTTTTCTTAATTTGACTAACTGGGTTGTTGTCTCATTAACATATATAACCCACAATCATCGTTTTGTCTACTGACTTTTTCAGATGAGATGTGGATAGGATTGAACGATCGTCAGACAAATGGACATTGGGTTTGGGATTTTGATAATTCAACACTCACTTATGACGATTGGGGACATAATGAACCAAATGGCGGATATGGAGAAAACTGTTGTCAGTTTTGTAAAACTTTATGTCATTTAAGTAGTTTTAGATGGAATGATGCGCCTTGTAATTTAGAAATTGGATATGTGTGTGAGAAACTCTCGTAAAGATAGTTATCACATTCAGCTTCAGCTCCATTTCGTAACTTTCTATTTTGGACTCTCCCCTCCCATTTTGAGAAAATTTATTACTTCAGTTAATAACTGTTAAGAATGTTCGCTCCTCTGTTTCAAAATAACAACCTTTTTAAAAGACTGTTATAAATTGATATAATATAAACATGACAAATAAGGGAACTTAAAAAGTAGAAAAAAATTATAGGTCCGTGTCCTTATTTTTGAGATATAATCAATTGAAAATTTGGCGAGAAATGATCTCTCTAGGTTTTTCATACACTTAGGTCCCTTCTGGTCATACAGGTATTCAAGTATTTATAAATCATTTGGCTTTAGATTTTTTGAGTTTGAACATTTCTGAAGAAGGTTGATTCAGAAAAACGCATCATACTCATTGAGTATTAATTTCATTTCTATGACCACAGGCACTTGTCTCTAATTTGTTTTCTTCACTATTTACCTTTATATAACACGTCTTATATAAAGGTATATAGGGAACAACTTTTTGGAGACAAGTGCCTGTGTCTATGAAGTCTTTATTTATAATGCAATCATATGTGAAAATATAAAAAGACGTTTACTTTCCCATTTTTTTCCTGTTTTTAGATTGGCTCTTACTTTTCATATTTTTTGTATATTTTAAAATAATTCATAAATCAATTAAACCTTTTCAATTATGTGTTTAAAACTTATTTAATACAAGTAAATAGCTCCTTATAAATTGACCTAAAGAGTGACTGGGGTAAAGAAGTATGGTCACTTTTGGTCTTCTTCTGACAAGCAGTAAAACTCTTGCTAAAGTGGGGCGTCCGTTTGACTGTGTGTGATGTATAATCTTGCAGCATAGTCCGGTCAGACAGGATACATTAATCCGACGCCTCGTGTAAAGGGATTGCAACGCTATCTCCACGCAAAAGAAACTTTACAACAACTGTTTGATGAGATTCGTCGAAGGCCTGTTGCACGCCTAAGTTTCTTTCAAGTGGAAATTCAAATGACCCACCCTTCATCCTGGTGGTCTCTTATTGAAGGGTTTACTTTTTGTATGAATTGATATTTTGATCTCGTCCTGAACTTGCATGTCACTGGACTTTAAGCCAACACCAATGGATCAATCAACCTGATGAATTGTTTTAAGAGAAGAGTATTATGATCACTTCATTCAATCAAACAATTTATCTCTAAATTTTTCTTTTTTTCCAAAATACCATTATATATGAATCTTATATTTTCACTGTAATGATATTCAACGTATTACACATTGTTCAATGCATCAGAGATGTCTGTATCGATTAAAATCAACTTGTTGTTACTTAATATTTTATTCCACGTGAATGCAATTTGACATGCGTAGTAACTTAGCTTGTTTTTTCGTATACATGGTAATACGATAATACATCTCAAACGCTAATGATTGTGAGGACAATTGTATGTGTCAACTACAAGTTCGCTCAGGAAAAAAAATGATTTTTCATTAAAAAATTTTGAAAATACCTGAACTTTATGGGGTACATCTAGGTCCAAGGACACATCAGTTAGAAATCACTGCCGTTTGCGTCAACCATTTTTTAGAAGTCTGTTCTTACTTTTTAATTAGCACATGCTATTTTAATTTTATTTCACATCAATGCTTAATTCTTATACCAAAAGTATTACTGATTTAAACAGTAAATTCTTCGTTAAATCAGGACGTCTCCCTTAACTACCTACAACACACTGCAATGACTTCGTATACAAAATTTAGGAAAGGAGTCTGTGTCCGACGCGGAAGTGAAACACAACCGCCAATTGTGTCGGATAATAATTGTTTTGCAAAGGTTGCCCATGCAGTGTCAGTCATACTACTAGTATGCATATTTGGAAGCTAATAGCTTATAAATTTTTTTTTTATTAGGCAAAAGCTGTGTTTTTGCGATTTTATTATTTAGATAATCGTTATTAAAGAAGATTCATTGGTTGCTGTCTTATTGATGTGTATCTAACACACCTTTTTTTCGGAGAAAGTTTCCAATTTCGATTTCTTTGAATTTGCGAGTTCCACTTGCGGTTGCTGCAAAACCATGATTCACGTGGCTCTTGAGACATCTGTAAATCATTGCCAGAAGGTAATAAAAATAAGAATAAGAAAAAAATATTTTGATTCGGCAAAAGTCAAATATACAACACAATTTAAAATGAAGTATTTATCTATATGATTTACCTCTTTAAAAGTTTTAAAAAATTAGATTAAAATATGGTTACTATTTAAATAAATAGATTTCCTTTATAAAAATCAAATAAAAAGTTTTGAACTATAATATATACTTCGTGATCTAGAAATTTCAAAGAACAAAATATTTTCCACCTGCATTGATTTACCCAATTTCTGGAAAGATTTACATCTCTACTCTACGTCTACTCTGTGCTTTTGTTAGATGTATTTCTATTTGTATGCATCTGATGAATTAAGACTTTTTCAACTGATTTTTATAGTTTGGTCTTATGTTGTACTGTTACACCACTGTCCCAGGTTAGGGGGAGGTTTGGCGCCTTCAAACTAGTTTAACCGCGTCACATTATGTATGTGCCTGTCCCAAGTCAGGAGCCTGTAATTCAGTGGTTGTCGTTTGTTGCTGTGTAACATATTTGTTTTTTTTGTTCATTATTTTGTACATAAATCAGGCCGTAAGTATTCTCGTTTGAATTGCTTTACATTTATCATTTCGGGGCCTGTTATAGCTGACTAAGCGGTATGGGCTTTGCTCATTGTTGAAGGCCGTAAGGTGACCTATAGTTGTAAATTTCTGTGTCATTTGGTCTCTTGTGGAGAATTGTCTCATTGGCAAACATACCACATCTTCTTTTTATATTAAAATTTAAAATTAAAAAGGCAACGACCTTATGTGATCCATGCCTTAAAACATATATCTGATTACTTCAGTTCTGACTTAGTGGAATTAATTTTTTTTGGAGTGTAAAAAATTCTTTGGATGTTATAAATAAATTACGTGCTTTTGATGGTCCTTTTGATTCTGTTGACAGTTTTGACCTTTCAACTCTTTACACTACACTTCCACACATTCTTATCAAAGAAAAGTTTTCCTATCTAATTAAATGGTCGTTTGGTAAATCTGAATGCAAATATATTTGCTGCAACTCATTTGAAGCCTTCTTCCCTAATGAGAAAGGTAAATATGCTAGATACACTTACTGGAGGTGTGATGAGATGATTGAAGCTGTTAATTTTCCCCTTGATAATATTTATGTACGTTTCGGCAACAAAGTTTATCGACAGGTTGTAGGTATTCCTATGGGCACCAATTGCGCCCCTTTAATAGCAAACTTGTTTTTGTATTGTTATGAATCACAGTTTATGACCAAACTCAGTAAAGACCCGTCTAAATTGCATTTAATTGATAAATTCAACAACACTTACCGTTATCTTGATGATATTTTTTCGTTAAATAATCAAGATTTTTCTAAATATGCTGCCGAAATTTACCCAAAGGAACTTACTATAAATAAATCAAATGTAAACGGTAATAACTGTCCTTTCCTAGATTTAGATATTTCAGTTTTACACTGGAAACTCCATACCAAAATTTACGACAATTTTCCTTTTTTGGATGGTGATGTTCCTTTGGCACCATCTTACGGTGTTTATATATCACAACTCGTTCGCTATGCCCGTGTCTGTTGTGACGTTTTCGATTTTAATGAACGTAATCTATGTATTACTGGTAAATTATTAAGTCAGGGATTTCGTTACCACAAATTACTTAAAACCTTTACTTAATTCTTCCATAGATATAAAGATTTGGTTTTGAAGTTTGGTTGTACCTATAGAAAACTTATTTCAAACGGGATAGCACATCCTCATTTTTACGGAGATGTTGTTTACCGTGCCCGGAAATTTAGAAAGGATCCTGGTAAACTTATCGATCCTTTAAATAAACTTATTCGAAAAGGTTACCAATTCAACACTATAATTAGATCTTTGAATATTGTTTTTATTGGTATTAATATTGATTTTTTTATCAGTAAATTAAAAGCAAACTAAATATTATTGTTATATACATATGCACATTCATGGATCTACAATCTGTCGGTACCTGTATTTTGGCATTGCACAAGGTCATGTTTTTCTTTGACTGTTTATGACGTCTTTATACTAAATCCATTGGATTTTGGATGTGTAATGATCGATAATTTAGTCTTATTAGTTGTTATTGGCTTTGCACTAGCTGTCAGTAACTGCGAGTACTCTCAGATCTGTACTTAGTGTCTTTTTGTTGTTGGGATGTACAAGTACCCGGCCACGTCCACTCTGTGTTTTTGTTAGATGTATTTCTATTTGTATCCATCTGATGAGTTAAGTCTTTTTCAACTGATTTTTATAGTTCGTTCTTATGTTGTACCGTAACACCACTGTCCCAGGTTAGGGGGAGGGTTGGGATCCCGCTAAAATGTTTAACCCCGCCACATTCTGTATGTATGTGCCTGTCCCAAGTTAGGAGCCTGTACTTCAGTGGTTGTCAATGTTGATGTGTACCATTTTTTTTTCTCGTTTTTTTGTACATAAATTAGGCCGTTAGTTTTCTCGTTTGAATTATTTTACATTTGTCATTTCGGGGTCTTTTATAGCTGACTATGCAGTATGGGCTTTGCTCATTGTTGAAGGCCGTACGGCGACCTATAGTTGTTAATTTCTGTGTCATTTTGGTCTCTTGTGAAGAGTTGTCTCATTGGCAATCATACCACATCTTCTTTTTATATTATTTAGAGATTAAGCACATTTATGCCAATTTCGTGACGAGAAGATAGTTGAAAGACATGGTTCTTTTAAGAACACAGTCACTTGCCTGTCGAAAAGCAGTTTCTACTGTATTTCATAAAATTATGATATGATATTTACCAAATGAAAAACAAAACAATGTTATCTGGATGATATATTCATTTCTGTTTGAGGTAACCACACTGTGTGAGTGTTTATAGAGAAAGTTAAACACGAAAAACTTTTAAGAGTACAATATCATAATGTATTGAAATTATAAGTAATAAAGGTTATTTTTACAGAGTGTATCGGTGTTCTGAATATTAGAGTTGGCCTACTTAACACATCGATATTCTCCTTCAAAATAACAGGAATAACTATCCTCTTTGTTTTAAAAGATACCATGACCTTATTTGGACTTTAGCTCATGTGACCTTTCATTTTCATCCAAGGTCAAAGATCATTGAGTGCAAAACATTTTATGCTTAAATATCTCTTAAAATTGGCATTGTGATACATGAAAGCTATTATTCTGGCAAGTTGTAAAACATCAGTTTTTGCTATTTTTCCGCTTATCGAAAGAATGGTCGCAGCCTTATAGTATTACAGCTTTGAACGTTCATTCTGCATATGCACTTAGTTAATACGTTTTTTATTTTACCTTACATAAGTGAACTGTTTTATAACTCATATATACATAATAAATAAAAACCAATAAGAGTTTATCAGTAATTCCAATGTGAAATAATGAGAGAAAAAATATTGAAAAAACATGGTTGATTGATTTTTTTGTTACACAGTATAATGTGCAAATAAATGTAATGTTACTTCATGGTAGTCATTTCTTTAGTTAAAGTTAAAGTTTTTGGTCAAGGTAGTTTTTGCTGAACTTGAAGTCCAATCAACTTGAAACTTAGTACACATGTTCCCTATGATATGATCTTTCTAATTTTAATGCCAAATTAGAGTCTTGACCCCAATTTCACGGTCCACTGAACATAGAAAATGATAGTGCGAGTGGGGCATCCGTGTACTATGGACACATTCTTGTTTCCTTCTGTTTCCATATTCATTGTTTCCATAGATACTAAATGTGTACTTGGTAATTAAGATAATTAGTAATATGCATTCTATAAGGTTTTTTTTTTCATTCGGATTCAATCAATTATTAAATGTCTTAACATACACATAAAATGTGGATATATTGCAATAGTTATATCCAAGTTATTATTCTGGACCATTCCGTTCCTACCCTTATAGTCCAATTTAAAATTACAAACTCTTGTTTCCAAATTTTGGTAGATTGATTATATTTTTCGGCCATGATTTGATTTTTCAAAGCGACAGTTGTTTGCATGATTTCAGTTTGTTTACAAAAACAATTGCTTCCTTCAATTGACTTAAGTGCCCTTTTTTACATTGATTTGTATTTCACACAAAGTCGGTGTTACTTTGAAACAAGCACTTGTTAATTTTTGCATATGTTGCACTACAGTAGGTACCAGCACAAGTAATATGTGAAAGTTGTATATTATAACAAACTGCATAAATATGGAATGAAATGTTAATCATTTATATTAGATAAAGAAATATATGTAGCTTGATAATTATATAAACATTTCATGTATCATTGCAATGTGAAAATGTTTTTCAAAATCATTGTATATTGTTTTCTGTGTGTAAATACCATGCTGTCCATCAAGAGCCCTTAATTGGGACAATGAATATTTTTATTTTTCTTATTTTGATATGTATATATATATTTTAGTTTGATTGTAAAATTATGTAAAGTAGTTTCACTTGGTAAAACCTAATTTTGGTATTTGAATTACCGATTAAATGGTAAAATTTTAAAAAAGAGTCATGTCCTTTGTTTTAATTCATGTTCGAAATTCTAAATTTAAAATAAGTGAGACTGCTGATACATTGTGTGTAAAATTGTTCAACGTTTTTGCTTACTTTTTTTCTTTTTATTAAACGCTTATATGTACTACAACTTTCTTTCTGCCTTACACAAAGAGCTAAAAGTCACCACACATGATAATTGAGTCAGTACGATAAAGACATATGAAGTTTTTTTGGGTACAAAAGTCATATGTGTATTTGAATTTTGGTTGATTGGAGGTCCTGAATAATTTCCTGTGAGGAGTAAAAGTGTTTTTGCGCTTTTGTCACTAGTCTACACCGTTAGCCACTAGTCCGATGCCCCAGACTAGTAAACATTTATTCGGACTAGTAAGTATTTGCAAAAAAAATGTTTAGACACATGAGAAAAATAAACAAATATTAGTCTTCGGACTAGTAGTTGGAAAAGATTTTGGGACAAGAGTTGCTATATTTTTTGAATCAGTAATGTTGATCTAAAACCTCCAACCTCGAAAATCAAATAATCGGCTCACATTAAAGAGCTTGATATTGTAACTTTATAATCCCTATTTTGGAAAAATCAGAAGAAGACAAATGACCTTCTAAATTGGGGATCGAAATAAAAAAAATACTATAAATATACATACTAAATTTTACTCACTACTCGGAGTAAAAAAATTGTGCTAGAAAACATTTTTGATTGGTTGAATTATGAGTCTGAACACGATAATCTTGCTTAATTTTTTTTTTGACCGAAGGCCAGAATAAGATGCAAAAACAAAAACAACCCAGAAAACATTACTGAACAGAAGAGAACTGACAGTCATATTTCTGATAGGCAATTTATACGGGCGTAAACGTGTCACTTGTAAGTGAACTCCCAGCTGCATGACAGCCTGAATCAACTGTGTATTTAGATTTCAGATTTTGGTCCCTGTTTTTGTATTGGTCCTCATTGAGGTCCACAGGGTCCAAAATTGATTTCATCAAACATTGGATTATTAAGATTCTTTGATATGTTGAATCTAAGCGTGTATTTAGATTTTTAATTTTGGGCCCCATTTTTAAATTGGTCCACATTAAGGTCCAAAGGGATCACAATTAAACTTTGTTTGATTTTAACGCAAATGAAATTCTTGTGGTTCTTTGATATGCTGAATCTAACCGTGTATTCATATTTTTGATTTTGGACCATAGTAGGATTTCAATCCGGGCTACATTCAGGTCCAAAGGGTCCAAAATTAAACTTTTTTTGATTTTAACACAGGCTCGGCAGTCAACGGTTCTTTGATATGCTGATTCTAACCATGTATTTAGATTTTGGATATTGAATCATAAAAATTAAATGTCCAATTTCGAATTTTTAAGTTCTTAAGACCACATTCATTCTGTGTCAGAAAGTATTCCATGTCAAATATTTAATCACAATCCAAATCCAGAACTGTACTGCACAATTAATAGAAATTGTAAGTACATGTAGAATTATAGTTAAAAAATGATACAGTATCAAAACTAATTTTAGAGAGTAAAAGTGAAGTGATTATGTATAAAAGAATAGAAAAACAACGGAAATATAGCTTGAAATTTACTGTTCATTATTAGATATTTAAAAAAATAATAAGAGTTAAAATTTAAAGATTTTAAAAAGACATTGTATAAATGAGTAATGATATTTTGGTAATTGTTTTATTTTCATTTTTTTTGTAAAAAAAATTAAGAAGTTCTGGTAGGTTTTTTTGTAATTCTGTATAAATTATTTTTCAGAATGCTATATAGATTATTTTTTTATGAAGTTATATCCTTTAAAACCTTAGTTAATATTGGGCATTAATAGATAGTTAAATTAAATTATTGGTGTACTTGGATATGCTGAATCTAACCATGTATTTAGATATTGGATATTGGACCATAATAAGTGAAAGAACAATTTCAAATTTTTCAGTTATTTAACCACATTCATTCTGTGTAAGAAACCTATAGCTATGATGTGTCAAATATTTAATCACAATCCAAATTTCAGAGCTCTATCAAGCTTGAATGTAGAGTCCATACTTGCCCCAAGTTGTTGAGGCTCGACCTCTGTGGTCTTATTTAACTGAGCCCAGCGGATCATTTAATTACAATGTGTTCTTATGTTGTGCTGTTACACCACTGGACCATGTTAGGGGAGGGTTCAGTGCTCACAAACTTTTTTGGCCTGTCCCAATTCATTCAGGTGTCAGTATTTTAGAGGTTGTCGTTGGTTCTTGTCTGTCATATTTATTTTTCGTAAGTTGTATGGTTATAAATTAGGCCGTTACTTTTCTCGTTTGAATTGTTTCACAATTTTTATATCAGGACCTTTAATAGCTGATATATATATACAGTATGAAATATGTTCTCGTTGTTGAAAGCCGTACGGTGACGTGCGCCGGATTGCCTGAAAAAACAAATATCAAACAGAGACCAAATGACGTGGATATTCGAAACTATAGGTCATCGTACGGCCATCAACAATGAACAATCCCATACACTATAGTTAACTGTAAAAGGTCCAGATATGACATACACTAAAGCATTTCAAACAAGAAAACCAACATGATAAAACAATAAACGAAAAACAAATATGAAAGACAGCAACCATCGACAACATATTAAAAATAAAATTTTAATGTATCTGAGATAGAAATACACCTTTAGTGAAACAGAATTCAAAGTCCAATATACATCTCGATTTATTATTTTATATCAGAGAATGTACAAATGTTTTAATACACACAATTAAAACGAAATTTGGCATTGCCCATTAACTATTTTCAGTACTGGAAACCATATCATGTTCTCCAATTCATAAAGACCTACATCAACGTATTGTTAAACAACCGCTACGTAACCATCAAAACTGACAAAGGTGTCAATGGGTATGTGTTGTGAAGGAAAATTGTCTTTTTCAGAGGATTTCTACATTGAAAAACAAGGGTGGAAGTTTTCCTTCTCTCGGTTGACATGTTCTCCTACGGTTCTTGTTTGTATGAAGGATATGCGCTATGCGATCCAATCAAATAGAAACAAAATAACAAACTCCAAGGCAAATTCAAAAAGGGGGAAGTCCATCAAATCTGACAAAATCAAACGTTATCATTCAACGGAACGAGTGAAAACAACTGCCATATTCCTGACTTGGTATATGCATTTTCCGAAGAAAACAGTGTGTTAAACCTGGTTTTATAGCTGGCTAAACCTCCTACTTGTATGACAGCTGTTTATAGTTTCGTTAAATTGCCAAAACTGGGTGCCCAACCCAAACAGACAAAATAGGTTAATGTGACAATAATTGCTGTCCAACAGCCAAAATTCTGTAAACATACACCACAGACATACACTACAGAGAGTAACGCAATTTACTTAATAATGCGAGGATGCTAGGCAAAAGACTTAGTTTGCTTATACAGTCCCCTTTGATACCTGACATTTTCGCACCCTGCCGAAATTGAGTTTTCCTTTGCAAACGATGGCATTTGTTGCCATAATAACTGCTGCTTCATTATATGCAAAATGTATCTAATATTTAAAAGGATCCAGATTTCTATTTCTAAAGTTATACAATAAAAAATTCGATATTTCTAATAACAGTTATTTAATATTTGTTAATTTATAATTAGTCGCAGAATTTTATTTATTTAATGATACATCAATTAGTCGCTTGCTGCATTTTAAATAGTTATTATTTAAATTCTTGTGTGGCTCATTATATTATTGAGTTTTAATGAGGCCGAAGCATATTTTTACGAACATGGTTTCAACCTTAGGTTTGATGATAATTCAAAATGCTACGTAGTTCTTGCGAAAGTTTAACTTTTAGTGCTAAAGATAATAATCTAACAAGGTTTGGCTTATTGATTTTGAACTATTGTGTATCATCTTGTACCAAATAAAAAGTATGTTATTCATACAAATAATACTTATTGAAATGAATAGTTTTTTTTATTATTTCATATCCCTATAATCATGAATGAAACTAGAAATACACAGTCTTATTTATTCTTGACTGTGTTAATTAAACTAGAAATAAACATTCTTATTTATTCTTGAATGTGTTGATAAAACAGAAATACACATTCTTATCTATTCTTGAATGTGTTTATAAAACTAGAAATAAACATTTTTATCTATTCTTGAATGTCTTAATAAAACCAGAAATATACAGTCTTATTTATTCTTGAATGCTTTAATAAAAACTAGAAATAAAAATTCTTATTTATTCTTGAATGTGTTACTAAAACTAAAAATAAACATTCTGATTTATTCTTGGATGTGTTAATAAAACTAGAAATACACGTTCTTTTTTATTCTTGAATGTGTGACTAAAACTAGAAATACACATTCTTATCTATTCTTGAATGTGTTTATAAAACTAGAAATAAACATTTTTATCTATTCTTGAATGTCTTAATAAAACCAGAAATATACAGTCTTATTTATTCTTGAATGCCTTAATAAAAACTAGAAATAAAAATTCTTATTTATTCTTGAATGTGTTACTAAAACTAAAAATAAACATTCTGATTTATTCTTGGATGTGTTAATAAAACTAGAAATACACGTTCTTTTTTATTCTTGAATGTGTTACTAAAACTAGAAATACACATTCTTATTTATTTTCGAATGTGTTAATAAAACTGAAATAAACATTCTATTTATTCTTGAATGTGTTATTAAAACTAAAAATATGGAATTTGACTTGAACGTAATGTGTTTATATTTAATTCTAATTTTTTCAATAATTTCTGAAATCCTTTCATAACAAAGGTATTGGAATAATTGAGTATAAAAGTAACTATTGCAGCTATATTATTTAAACATATGATAAGGTATTCAGATATGTATCTGAAATTAGGTTTAATCGAGTTTGCTCTAGTTCAATAATTGGAAATTCCCGAAAGTATCTATTCAAAAAGGTTATAAGCAGAAACGAAGTCAACTTTGAACGAGGTATACGTTGTATGTTATTTAATACTGTTTAGTTCCTGTAAACTGGCTAATTTTCGCAAGTAGAAAAATAACGCGAATATAAATCGTCGCGAATATGAAAAACTTGGATCTTATCTGATTAAAATACATCAAGTAAATTTGAAAATCTCGAAA